TCCCTCATCTTGCTGCCGGTATTATCCTTTAAAGATGGTTAATTTCAGGTTTCGGCCCTCTGGTTGATTTATGGGCTGACTTAAATGCTTACTGTGTACTCTTTGATTGATGGAATGTTGTTTTATTTCGAGCTCTTTTTTCAGTTATTCTGTCATTCCTGCTATCAATTTCAGAGTTAATTCACAACTGCCAAGTTATGGAATTCATCGGTTTAGATTGCTCACAAATAGACTTGATATGAAATCTGAACTGTTACTGTTTTAATACCTGGTGATTTTGTGCTTTGTTTTTATTTTTTTGTCATTTGCTATTTTTATTTTGTCTACACTAGTTTGCCAATGTACAATGCCACTGTGCCAAATTTACAGTAGAGGACTGGGAAAACTTAACTCTATGGATTTTATGTTCGTACTTTTACGTTTCGCGATATGTGTTTCCTCTCTGAGTTTCAGTTGATTTAGGTGTGAGCCAAGCCTTCTCTATCTTTTCACCATTAAGGGGTTTTCCAGGTGACTCTTTTGGTGAGTGTCAAAATACAGACGTTTTGGTGATTATTTAAGATTCACTTTGAATCTAAAAAAATCTATTGGATGCGCTCTTGTCTTGTCTTTGCTGTTTTTTTTTCCATCATTGATTAATTCAGGGGCTTTTTTCTTATTTAGCATAAGTATTGGAAGTATATGAAAAGATTTTGAGCCACCACATTTTCAGCCACAATTGTGATGCTGGTATAATGCTCATTATGGAGAAATGGTTTTCAAAATGGGTTTCTAGCGGTAAGGCGACGATCTGCAATCTGTGGTATGATATTTAATTTTATTGACTTTTTGATCTTTTAAATCCTTCCTTGGGGTTCTATAAGATGATGTAAACAGAACAAAGTGCCGGATTTTCGTTTGATTGTTTTTCAGATCCAGCTGTGTGTGTTAAATCTTTTGTTGAAGAGATGTCAATTAAATGGATACTAAAAAGAGGAACCCAGCAAAAAAAATGCTCGCATATGAAAACTGAACCAAGAGGAATGTATTAATAAAAGCACGAATGATTAGGACCTTAATTGATTATCAAGGCTTGTTGTTGTGCTGAAAATAATGTCGTATATGAATTTCTTGTTCGGATTTGAGTAATTTGTTGTGCTCACCGTTCCAACTTTGACTAAGCGTTTCTGGCAAAATCAAATCTTGGACAATGGACGTATTTAAAATTTCACATGAAAAACTATTTATTTAATAGGGAACTTAGACAATTGATGACACTTGAATTTCTTTGTTACTTACAAACTCATGTGGGATGCAAGATCATGTGTATGTTGAAAGCAGAAGACAGCTTCTTTAATGGGGCCCTTGGTGGTCTCAAGAGTTTTTGTTTTTCTCAAATTAGAGGCCTTGTGATATCTGAAATGGGATGAGGCAAATTTCTATTTGCCCCTGTGTCCCATTCTCAATTGAAACGTGGAAAAAATTTATTCCTAATAAAAATTATGCATTTTGTTTATAATATCAGAAACATTGATACGCAAAAGTCAAGTTATTTAACTATCTAAAACTGAAACAGCTAAGTTTGTTTGTGTGAAGAATTCTTGTCATGATGATGGCTTTTGTTACCTGCATTATATCACTAGGAATCCTTGAAATTGCAAAAAACAAACCCCCAAAAATAACTAAGGTGGCTCTTCCATCTCCTTCATCATCTACAGATTTTATGAGGTTTCTCTGGGTCTGGCCTGAACACCTTTGGGGGAGGTGGAGAGGAACAGCAGCCTTCCCTTGTATCTACCCATGAACACGATTCAGGCAGCACTGTACCCCTCAGGGCAGCTGTCCGAGGTATTCTCTGTTAGTGGAAGTCAAGCACTTTTGTTCTTGTTTATTTTAAAAATTGCCCAAACCGGCGCGTAGTTACAGTCTGTATATGGCTGGCTCTTGCTTTCATACGACTCCTGTTTCTCTTTCACCAGCATAGAAGGTCGCCTGCAGGCGCCGCGCTTTGCCGCTCTCCCACAATTAACGGCAGGAGAGCGTAATTTGCCACTTTGACCAGGGAGGAGGGTAGTGTTGCAGTCTTAAAAATATCACCCATCCCGTGTGGTCCCTATCTCGGGTACCATTTTTCGGCTTAAATCGGCTCACCGGTAGCCGTCACACACACACAGCACCGTATTCATTGCTGCTGCTTCTCATTCCATGCCTTGTCTTATTAGAATGATGACTTTCTTTATGTGTGTGCTTGTTTTTTTGTGCTATATTTTCCCTCTGTTTTGTGATGGTTTGTCGGTCATTTTAGGCTGCATAGAGCGAGGCCCACACACACACCACACCGAGCATATCCGCCGATCCATCTGGAGTTGCGTCAGGTCTGGAACAGCTAAATGTCAAACCTTGAAAAGTGTGCGCGCCGCCCTGCGCCCACGCGATCGATGCTGGGTGACCGAGCGAGCGAGCGATAGGGCGCATTCCTTAATCCTTCAAACCGCCGCTTCTCCCAACAACCCTCCCCCCAAACCCCCCACCTCAACCCCCCCTTTGGTCTCCCCCAGCCCTGGACACACGACGAGACCGCGGGACCGCTGTTTTTCCCGTTCGAACACGAGGATTGATCCAATGTATTATTTACGACCGAAACTTCAGCAACTTATCCACTGGATATGGCTCCCGGTTTGAGGAGTGGGCGGACGGGTCACCCCGACGTGGTGGGAGCCGGCGGAGCGGAACCCGGTGGGTGCTCGCCGCGGAGGACGGATGCCGGAGGAGAGGGGGGGTGTTTGAGGACCAGGTGGCGGAGCAACGGAGCAGCGGGGATGCTCGCGAACTGCCTGCTGTCTGTGGGAATGCTTTTACTTCTTGTCCGGTGCGCTCTGGCCGCAGAGGGTAAGCAACACCGCCGTAGCTGTCCGGTCCGTGCCTGTGACATCCAGTGCTCCACTGCGAGTGGCATCTATTGTGAAGCGTTAAAAGCACATCGGGTGGAAAATGGATCTTTTTGTTTTCGCACTGGCAGCGTTTTGTAATCCGCACAAGTATTGCTGCTGGGTGCATGATTCACAGGCTGTGTGGACGGAGCGGTGGTCGGCTTAAATAGCTTGCAGTGTCATTATTTTAGGGAAGAGAAAGAGGAAAAAATAAAAAAAACCCTCCAGGCAACCTATAAGATTCTTTGCATATGCTGTGTGCAGGAGGCTGTTATTGCATTGCAATTTGCGCAGTCAGGGTATGTGTCCAAATGGCCATTGTTCAGGGTTAAATTCCATCACTGACCGCACTGACATGATATGTTGTGTGTGTGAGAGATGGTGTTGATGCTGGACTGCGCAGGGGTTTTTATTTTTTTGCTTTATGTGATGTAACTCCCTCACCTACTAATCTCTCCACCTGAGCCTGGAGCCACACTACTCTTTTTGTCTCTCTGATCAGATTGCACAGCCCAGTCAGACTTTGAACCCAGGTTCCTCCTCTGCAGTTGCTGGGCTCATTATGAGCTATCTCAACCTCAACTTTGTCTCCCATGTCATGTCTCATGTCAACTTAACCCCCCCCCCCCTTTCTGCAATTTGATGTCATTTTTTTGGTTGCATTTTCAATGCAGAGGTTAAAACATTATTATAGTCTGTAAATTAGCTTAAGGGAGGTATTGTTGGGAATGCAGTGCAGTCACAGGACAGTCAGTGTTTCAGAGCATCTGGGTCAGCACTAATGACACACATACTGTAGCCCACTGTAGGTCTGTCTGTCTCTGGCGGCATGAGAGGCATCTGGGGTAAGGCTGGCCGACATAGCTGCCCTTCAAACCATGAACGCTTAAAGAATGGGCTACAAGAGACAGTTAATGTCTGCATGTGCACTCATTTGGCTGCATCACCTTTTCTGGGGGGGTACAACCCCGAATGGGAACATAACAACAAAAAAAACATGTTCTTTGCAAGTATGTTAAGTGTGTGTATCCAACAGTAGACCCATCACCTCTATCCAGTCTACAAACTGTGATGTGGTGGCTGTAAGTCTCACCTCTGCTGATGCACTGCTACAGTAGCAGAGTCTCCTCCTCCTCCCTCCACCTCCTCCTTCTCACAGTCAGCACATCCATTCTTAAACACATGAGCCCAGCAGTAGCAGCACCTGAGCCATACAGTACAAATTGGGTGAAAGAGTACACTATAGTGTTCACCTATGTCAAGATTGGTTTCTGTGGTCTTTTACACTGGCGTCTATGATAGTCTGTGTGCTGTCAGTATAGTGTTACTGGTTTGAAAAAAATGGAGGACATACTCTTAGCTCCAAAGAAATGATCCAGGGTTCTCTTACAGTCACCATGTTTGTCTTCTTCATTGTATTTGGGATGTAATTTAATACATTAGGGAGAGGAGCAACTCTCATCACTGCCCTCTGGATTTTGATTGATTTGTTAATGTGCCCTGCAAGAATATGGATATACAGGATGTTCACATGACGAATCATCATGTGAAGTGCCACAAATAATTTACATTTACATAACAGAAATGCCCCATTGTGTCTTTGTCTTAGCTGCCGAACATTTTCTATAAATCTCACTGAAACAAAAACCTCCTCATTAGAGAGCCAACTCAACATGTTACCTTCAGACAACCAAAACAAATCAGGTTTCTTTGACTAAATTCTTCAAACAGATAATTCTTGGGCAAATGAAAATCATCCTCAGCAACACAAAGATCCCAACAAACAAAAACACTGCTCTTTATATATGCCTTTACATTCAAGGTACCAGTTCTTAACTTCGCACACACCTCTGCCTTCTCCCTAAATCAAATTGTATACATGTTTCAGTAGTCTTTTTTGATTTGAACGTATTTTCTAAGCTTTGGCTTATTCCAAATCTCCTTGGATCTTTAATGGGACATATTATTCAGGATAGTTAGGGATGAACCAATCAGTGCAGATACCAACCTTAATGATCCTGGTTTAAGACCGTTTCTTTGTCAACACCATTATGAAATCCAGTGGGGGTTTTTTTCATTCAGTGATTCAGTTTTTAGTGCCACAGTGATCCCTGGCCTCATGTTACCTTAAAAGCATTATTCCAGTGATCTTATGCAGTGAGCTATACAGGTTTTACATTTGGAAACAAAGTGCAGTGGTATTAGACAGTACTGGCAGAGTTGAGGTACAGCCATAAGAATAAATATCATGATGACCGGAAGGCCTTCTTCTAATATTGATCATACATCATGATATGCCTTTAGGTGGGTAAAATCACATAGTAAGGGGAAAGCTCTGTCCCTTTCATGGTGGAACAAATTTGACTTAGTAATTGCTTTTGTATTGTTATATTAGACAACAAAGTCGTTAATTCACATTCACAGTCTTCACAATATGATTACCATGATAGGCAAGCAATCATAAATAATACATTACAAAGTTGAAGTGTGCACTCCTCCTCCTCTATATATCTTCACAAATTCATTCAAATGCAGTCTGGGCTGACTTTCAATATCATGTTGGCTGCTCCTGCACAGTGGCTGAACTACTAAACACTAGAGCTGTGCTGAGAAATGGGCCAGGCCCATATATCTACTGATATTAGCTTACTGCGGATACATCAGTATCTGTATATATGTCGGCCGATAAGTCACAAGATGTTGCAGTACAGAAATGTGTAACTAGGTTTGAGGTAAGAATTCAGTGTCACCATTACAATTTGGAGTAGATTTTTCAACTGTAAAATGTCCTGCTCAGTATGTATATTGGATACTTGGATGCAATTCTTAAAAAAACTGAAAAAAACAAAACAAATCTAAGGTGTTGTAGGAAATTACTATTGGCCAATTCATCTTTACTAAATTTTTTAGACATTGATATCAGTATCAGGCCCAAAACTTTAAATGCAGTATTGGTCAGACTACACTGCTTTGTGTGTGTGTGTGTGTGTGTGTGTGTGTGTGTGTGTGCTTACTGAATGAAAAACATCCTCAATTGCTGTGAGCTGGTAACACAGCTTCCTCTCATGTGGAATCAGTACAACGTGGTTTCTATGGGAACACCAATTTTTGCCCAACAGTAACCATTTCCCCCTTAAACCCTTCAGCCGTCAGTAGAGTAGAGGACAGTGCAGGGTGTCGTGGATATCCTGAGTAATGTGGCTGCAAAGAAGAAGCTTTTTCATGCAGTTCGATTGATCTTTAATTAACTGCCAGAATCTCTTGTCTGGTTTATTGCTTTCTTATTAACACAGCTGGAAAAATTATACTCAGCAGCAGCTCTAGGACACACAGAAGACGGGCTAAGCAAAGGCATCTTTGGTTGCTGCACACAATCAAATGACTTTCCTCTGACGTCAGCTTTGTTTACTCCCACTACCACATCTCGCCCCGTTGCTTATGAGTGCTGACAGCTTGGTTTTGACAGGGGTTAACCTCGCAGACCTTTTTGCTGTGTGAGATGCTATCCCTGTGCTGCATGCCAGTCGTTATTCCCTGCTTAGGAATTCATTGAAAGGAGACATGACAGAAAGATTCAAAGCCATTTCCTATTTGCAATGCAGTCTGGGGCTCTTACCCATAAAGCGACTGTTAATGTGTGCGTCAATGGACCAGGGAGCTGCACATCACAACACTCTGTGGTTTTTCTTGTTTTGTGTGGTTCGGTACCTTGCAGTTTTCTTCCACTCTGTCTCGATTAACAATTTTCAGGACCGTCACAATTGTTAATGTTAGAAACTTCCAGGAATTGGTTTGTAAAAAAAAAAACAGCAACCATGACTCACCATAGGTCTGATGACCTGTCTGCTGCGTGAGCTCTGGGTTTTCAGAAGCGCACAGAGGACATGATTTCCCTCGTTTCACCTCATTTCAGTGATTTACTGTACAGCAGTTAATTATGTTGTGGGTAAACATGTCAGGAGGGCTTAAGATGTATGTGCATGTTTGTGGTGTGTGCATGTGCGCGCGTCAAGATAGATGGTGTTTTCTTAGGTGGAGCCTCAGCTGTGCCTCGATGAATGTTTAATTTGATTTGCCCTCAATCGTGATGCAAGACCAAATTGAAAAGTCAATTTACAAAAACCAGTGCTGATTTTTTTAAGGCTTATTTATATTCTGCTCACAGTTCATCTATATTGTTCTGCACCGATGTTTTGACAGGGAGACCGTGTGAGTTCTGTTCAACATTATGCCAGAAATAAAAATGCTAAAAGGACAGAAACAGAGTGTCATGAAGTAATTAAAAATATATTAGTACTGGCAATCCTTCTGAGAGTAAAAGAATAGTCATTGTTATACATCTCCGCTTTAATTTACTCACAGGGCTCTTTTTTCTGTCACATCTTAAAGAAAGTCAAAAGGTTTGCAGTTTTTTTTCTCATTCACTGCTGTAAACAAAGCAGGCAACACTTCTACAACACATAGATGTAATGATAAGTAAGGCAAACAGGCTTCTAATTAGTATCTTGGACCATCTGCCTCGTATTATCCCTTGTGCAGTTCAGTGCAATCAGGGAATATTGTGTTTGTGTTGTGTGTGTGTGTGTGTGTGTGTGGTATGAGCTATCTCCATGTTTCCCTCCAGTATCTCTCTGTACCTTTGTGCCTCTCTGTTCTTTTGCCTGTCTCTCTCTGTGTTTTGGCGGTTTGGTGCAGGTTGATGGCAGACAAAGGCTTGGCCCTGCTGTCGCTGCTTGAGGAAGGACAGCAGTCTGCCTGATTTACTGGGACACGCTGTATAATACACCACACAGCTCCACACAAGGCCACTGTTCATCACACCACATCACACAGGACCACAGCAGAAGACAAACATGAGGGGCCTGATTCTCTGGGAAATGTAGGTTCTTTGGATTCTAAAGAACATCCCATTATGTTCTTAAGATTGCCTCCATCTATTTGAATGAATATATAACAACT